TTTAGGGTTTAGGGTTAGCCCCAGACCCTAGAACCCCAAGCCCCAAACCCTTAAAGATCCCTCATAGGAACCCTAAACCCTAAACCCTAAACCCTAAACCCTAAAACAGTAGCCCGGAGTTCAGGCCCCACAGAGAGCCAGAGGAGATCTTTGCAGGACCCGGAAGTGGGAGCCAGAGCGGGGGTTTAGGGTTAGACGGTTAGACCCTAAACCTTAAACCCTAAACCCTAAACCCTAAACCCTAAACCCTAAAACTGTAAACCCTAAACCCTAAACCCTAAACCCTAGTTAGAAGGTTTAACGGAGCCCCGTACCGCGTAACCAAGGGCTCTATGGGATTCTATCTGTTTGTCTGTCTGTCTGTCTGTCTATCTATCTGTCTATCTATTTGTCTATCTGTTTGTCTATCTATCTATCTATCTATCTATCTATCTATCTATCTGTCTATCTGTCAGTATGTATATGTACATGATTATGTATGTATCTATATACGGGTGTACATACACACACACATATATATATACATACATATGTGTGTGTATATTCATACAACATAAAACAACATAAACATACTTATACATAGGGCAGGGTTGATCATACACAGAATGTACGGCATATTCTCGAGTGAATGGTTATCGGGCTCTCTGCAAACATCCAATCTTCAACCAACTAGGCTTACCTACGGTTTCAGGGTTTAGGTTTGTCTGGAATCGGGTTTTGGATTCAGGGCTTGGGGCTTAGGGCTGAGCAAGCTTACTAGTGTTTACGGGGATCAAGGATTATTCCTAAACCCTAAACCCTAAGTTCGGACTGTTTAGGGCTTTTTTGTTGCAGCTATTTATGGTTATGACGTTTGGCTGAGGCTTATTTGGTGAGCGTTTAGAGGTTGCTGGTGTAGGGTTTATCAGTTTATGACACTTAGGGGTTTAGGTTTAGGGTTTAGTAAGTTTATGACACTTTAGTACTACTGGCTGCGCTTTTTTTGCAAACTGCCACAGTGCGTGAATCTCTCGGTTCTGCATGTGCAGCCGCGGGAGGAGAAGGCACTTGCAGCAAGGTCTGCTGCTCTACAGGCGCCCTCATCTCTGCTACGTGTTGGCTTGATGCTGCAACTGTCAAGAAACAGGGCGCAGAGCGTGAACCCAGAGCCTCCAAAACCCCTTAATTAAGGAATATGCCTTAAATCATATTAGGGATCCTATTATAATTTAAGGTATATTCCTTAATTAAGGGATATTGGAGTCTCTGGGAAGATATCTGCCTGTGCACGTTGCAGCACTTTTTTGTAGCGAGAGTCAAGGCCAGCCACCAGCAAACCAACACATGTTGCTTTAATATAGGGGCCTAAATAATTACCACATTATTTTGGGAGCTCCTTATTAGAATTATAGTATAATAATGGGCCCAAAACTGTTTCTAATTTTTCAGGGCCCCTACATTTCAGGCCCCCACATGACCCGCAAAAGACTGGGACCTCAGCACGCTAGCCGCTTGCCACCCTTAGTGAACCTAGTGCATCTTCGGACCATGGAACCCAACAAGGGGCCCTACTATTTAGAATAGGGTTTAGGGTTTAGGGTTTAGGGTTTAGGGTTTAGGGTTTAGGGTTTAGGGTTTAGGGTTTAGGTTTAGGAACCCACAAAGGACATAAGCATAAGCATTTTTATAGGGATATCCCTACCTTATTGGGCTTCATTATAAGGGGGGTTTATATGGGATATCCCTATCCTAATTTTGCTTATGTGCTTGTTTTGGGGCCCTAATCCCGTGAACTTGCAATGGCGCCGGTGTACATCGCTGGCAAGACCGTCATTCAAGTCTACGACTTCGATGCTACGAGACTCATCCTACATTTTGTCATGTGGGTAGTTGTCAAAATTAAGGTCCCTTTGGGGGTACTCTAAATAATAGGTGCCGCATTATAATAAGGACCCCAAAAAGGGACCATCATTTTGACAACCACCCATGTGCATCACTTGTGAAGCAGTTTTTCCGAGCTTCAGTCCGAGATGAGCCCGGCGCCATCCGGAGCCTTGCTGTTCTCTAGAGGCTACGACCTAAACCCCTAAACCCCTAAACCCCTAAACCCCTAAACCCCTAAACCCTAAACCCTAAACCCTAAACCCTAAACCCTAACCCTATAGGATCTCACTTCCTGCAGCTGATTTGGCTCTCTGTGTTTTGAACGACCTAAAGGGCGCTTTGCTCCGTCGACTTCGCGTCTCAGCCATGGCCTGCTTCGAGGGATGCTTCGGCTTTGCCCATCGTCGCTTGGCCAGAGCTAGCCGGTCCAGGGTGACAGAATTCAAGACCGGGATTGAAGCATATATATATATATATAAGCGATGCAATCTATAATCTAAAGTATCTAGTATTCAAACATATAATAAAGAATATATAATATGAGCCGACACCGAGTTTCCTGCAAGGAAACCCAATCTTAGGGTTCCCGTGATCATGACCACCATGTTCAGGTGGACCCGCTGTGCCAGAAGTTCCCAATGCAGGCGAATTGCAAGCTTTGCCGCGCATGCTCGAAGAACATCAGGAGTTTAGCGTTTTGCGAGCGGAGCATTGTCAGGGGAGTAGTCGCTGTGCTTCGGGGTATGTGCGCATGCATGCAGATGTATGATGCATGGCAAGCATGCATGCATGCATACACACATACATACATGCCTGCATAACCGAGCCCAACCGCGAGCCCACAGTTTCGTCAAAATCCCGCCGCAAACTGGCGAGCCAGAACGCCTGGAGCAAAACGGATTCTGATCCTAAACCCGAAACCCGAAACCATAAACCCTAAACCCTAAACCCTAAACCCTAAACCCTAAACCCTAAACCCAAAACCCTAAACCCCAATCGCATTCAAGCAGGGTTTCCCTTGTGCACCTGGCTTGGACAGGCCAGCCCCTGCCGCAGCTCCTCACGAGCGCACCGGAGGTGTGCTTCGCAACGTTCGGGTTGCATGGTAAGCCCTAAGCTCTAGTCCCTAAACCCTAAACCCTAAACCCTAAACCCATCGGTTGCATGGTAAGCCCTACCTAGGAGCGTTTTAGGGTTTTGAGCTTTAGGGTGTAGGGTTTTAGGGTTTAGGGCTTTAGGGTTTAGTGAGTTATAGGCTTCATTGTAGTTCCTTTTCGGGGTTACCTTATAGAGTCCTTAATATAGAATTGGTTGAACCAAAAAAGGAACTACAATGGAGCCTCTAGGTAAACCTTAAATCCCCCTTCGACGCAGACACATGTCAGGTCAACAGCCCAAGAGGCGCAGCAAAAACGCTGCCACTACCCGCCGATGGCTCCCCGAGCCGTAGATCCGGTAAGCCCTTAACGCCCCTAAAGCCCTAAAGCCCTAAAAGCTAAAGCCTGAACCGCCCCCTCCTAAAGCCCCGAATCCCAAAAGGGTGTCAGAGTTGGCAGGCTCCACGCCCCCGCAACGAGCGCAAGATCTCAAAAGGCCAGGCTCTTCCCTTGTGTCAACTGCGCCCTGCGGTTACTATCCAAGGGCCCCTATAAGGGGTTACTATAAGGCATACTGATTATACGATAAGGGATACCGATTATGCTATAAGGGACACTAGCTATACTATAGGGGATACTTCTTACACTACAAGGGTTGCCAAATGTCAGGGTTACTGTAAGATGAGGGTTGCTAATTATAGGGATTACACCATGAGTGCCTGAACTTTGTGCACTATACCGTATCACATTTCGACTGTCTCATACTATGTTATGCTATCTTATGCGGTCTTATACTAGCTTGCACCATCTTCTGCTATCTTATGCTATCTTTTACCCTTTTTACTATCGCATAGTGACGTTACAGAGCACGAACTGCTCTACTTACTTGGGTCCCATGCACAGGCGCCAACAGCAACAACCAAGAAGCACGCAGTCATCTTGGTTTGAATACTCCAGGAGCAGCTAGCCGATTCAATTTCGCTGTTTCTGAACGCAAACCCTAAACCCTACAGAATCTCAAGCCCTAAACCCTAAACCCTATTCCAGGATCCAATACCAGCAAGACCAGCAGCGACTCGCGTGTGCACTACTCTTTGACCGGCTCCTCGGCCGCTCAAGAGCAAATGTTCCGCTTGATTAGGGCTTAGGGTTTAGGGTTTAGGGTTTAGGGTTTAGGGTTTAGGGGTTTAGGGTTTAGGGCTTAGGGTTTAGGGTTTAGGGGTTTAGGGCTTAGGGTTTTGGGTTTAGGGTAAGCGGTTGCTTCTTGAGCACCGTACGCTTCAGCGACGCAAGTCGTGTCTCAAGCAGACCTGCCGAAGCTATGAAGATGAATCCTGCACCCTAAACCCGAAATCCTACACCCTTTACCGATCCTCTAAGATTGAAACCACGGGCCCCTAGTATGGGCCCTTAACCCTGGGACCCTTATATACCTGCTATATACCCTATATGTACCCCGACGGGACCCTAGAACCCCCCTAAGGGCCCATATTAGGGGGCCCATACTTCTAACCTTGGAGATCAACCCTAAACCCTAAACCGTAAACCCTAAACCCTAAACTCTAAACCCTAAACCCTGAACCCTGAACCCTAAACCCTAAACCCTGAACCCTAAACCCTAAACCCTAAAAACCCTAAACCACAAACTCTAAACCCTAAACCCTAAACCCAAAAAACCCTAAAAACCCTAAAAACCCTAAAAACCCTTAAACACTAAAGCCCTAAACCCTTTACGGATCCGGCTCCGACTTGAGGCATGCAGCTGCCGGACTCGCCCATTCGAGCCAAGAAGAAGGTCACCTACTCCATCACCGGCATGCCTTTGCTGCGTGGCAGCGATTGGGTTCAGGGTTTTTAGGTTTTTTTTAGGGTTTTTAGGGTTTTTAGGGTTTTTAGGGTTTTCAGGGTTTTAAAGGTTTTTAGGGTTTTGGGTTTTGGGGCTTTACATGTGGCATTTCGGGATCGGGGTCAAGCTTGCACCCCTTTTTTTCGGGTTTTGGTGTTTCAGCACAGGTTTACTCGGTCGGATGTGCCCAGGCTAGGTGAGCCAAGCTCCCGAGAAGCAGCCAAGCCACCATCCTAAACCATACTCATGCACGGTTTCTCTTCTCTCTTTCCTGATGCCCCAAAGAGAGGCACGGGAATTAATATAGGCCCCTCTGCAAATTAGAATAGGGTTTGGGGCATTTTATACTTCAATTGTAATAAGGAACCCCCAAAATCCTAACCCTATTCTAACCCTAAACCCTAAACCCTAAACCCGACTATGAAGGCACCGACATGAACCAGGTAGGAGCGGCTTCACCCTGAGCCCTACATCCTGAACTCAAGCCCTGAAAGGCCCTAGGTTCGGGTTAGAGTTTTTATGGTTTAGGGTTTAGGGTTCAGGATGTAGGATTTAGGGTTTAGAGTTTAGGGTTTAGGGTTTTAATGCTTAGGGTTTAGGGTTAATAATTCATAGCTATAGTATAATGGGCCCCAAAATCCTGCTCGAATCATGAAGGCCCCCTATAAAATACATCCGCAATGGAACCCCTACAGATCCCTTTAAAGGGACCCCTTTCAAGGAGCCCTACTCTAAACCCTAAACCCTAAACCCTAAACCCTAAACCCTAAACCCTAAACCCATGAAGGCCCCGATATCACACCCCCCAAATCCAAGCTTCTAAGCGCTGAGCCCTGCAGCCGAGGCCCTGCGCTCAAAGCCTTTAGGGTTTAGGGTTTAGGGTTTAAGGTTTAGGGTTTAAGGTTTAGGGCTTAAGGTTTAGGATTNNGGTTTTAAGGTTTAAGGTTTAGGGTTCAGGGTTTAGGGTTTGGGGTTTGGGGTTTAGGGTTCAGGGTTTCGGGGAACTACGGTAAAACCCCTTAGTTAAGGAAGGTACCTTAAATCATAGTAGGGAGCCAATCATAATTTAAGGAGTATATTCTTCAATGGAGGGATTTTGGAGTCTCTGGGAATAGCGTTGAGGTTTAGGCTACGGTTGATGATATAAATCCTGCATTACCTTAAGGACCCTCAACTAGCGGAATTGTGGCATCTACCTTATGATGGGTAATGCAGTAATTATACCGTCAACCGTATCACAAACACCTTATGCTCACCTTCATAGAACCATTGTACATGTCGTAACCCGCTAGTAGCCCTCAACAAAACTTTCTTCTGCAGACCGTAAGGTACGAGCCGGATGAGCCGAACACTGCCAATAATCAGAAGAATGCTGGGAGGCTTGTCATAGTAGTGCTATCGGAAGAATAACATTTACATCTTTCTTCCATCATCATCCTCCTCATCCTCATCCTCCCCATCATTCCCGTCATCATCAGCATCATCATCACCATCATCATCATCATCATCATCATCATCGTTACCATCATCATCATCATCATCATCATCACAATCGGCACCATCTTCATCATAACCATCATCATCGTCGTCATCGTCATCATCACCATCGGCACCATCTTCATCATAACCATCATCATCGTCGTCATCATCATCAACATCATCATCATCAACACCACCATCATCATCATCATCATCATCATCATCATCACCATCACCATCATCATCATCATCATCATCATCGTCATCGTCATCATCATCAACATCATCAACAACATCATCGTTATCATCAACATCGTCATCATCATCATCATCATCAACAACAACATCATCATCATCCTCATCATCATCATCATCAGCACCACCTTCGGCACCATCTTCTTCACAATCATCATCAGCATCAGCATCGGCACCATCTTCATCATCATCGTCATCATCATCACTGCAGGCATAAAAGAGCAAGGTTGTATTCCGTGCCTCCCGCCGAGAGTCTTGCAGCAGGCGTGGAAGTGGGAGCAAGGAGACCACCGCCAC